TATATATATATATATATATATATATATATATATATATATATATATATATATATGCATGTATATATATATATATATATACCGAAATGGACAATTTATGTTTTATTAAGGCTGGGATATAGTTGGACAGGCCGAAACTGGTAGTGGTAAAACGGCCGCATTCATTTTACCAATTATCAATCACATCATGAATAATGGTGAACCGACTGATTCAAAATGCGCTCCAATTGCTTTGATAATAGCACCAACACGTGAATTGGTCGGACAGCTATATAATCAAGCTAGAAAATTCGCTGATGGTATCGTTTATGGCACAATTTACGTAATCAGTAGGTTAAACCTGGAAGTAGTTAAACATTGACTCTGAATAATTTTGAAATTTATCTTTTCATTTTACCTAACATTTACTGTCATGTAAACTCCATGTATAGGCTTGTCAGAAATTATTGGGTAATCTCCAGCAAGGCCAGAATGTTTAATAATGTCTCTGCTTCCCGAATTGTCAAACCTTCATCTTTATCTCCATTTTTTCTTCGTCTCTCCTTCATTTTCTGATCTTTTCTTTATCTTATTTATCTTTAGTATTATCGAGATTTCAACATGTTCAATACTTCAACATTACTTCTAATTATAGTAGCGCAGCTATTTTGACATCAACTGACTTGTCCGCTTTCATTTGTCATAATCCTATCTGAACATTTCTTACACTCATTGCTATCAATTTTCTGCATGTGAATTCGAATGTAAGAGAAATTTGCTTACTTCTACAGTGAAACTTACAGGAACGGGTGTAACAACGGCGAAGGCATATGGACAATACAAGTTGATGGAAAATGTAATGGAGCTGGAAAGAGGCTGTAATATGCTGTTTGCGACGATGGGAAGATTAAAAGATTTCGTGGAGCGTGGAAAGGTGCCAATTTGAACCAAATGATATTTGCACAATCAATGTTGGAGATTTTATTTTTATTACATTAATATTTTTTTTGTAAAAATGTCTGAATATTTTGTTGGAATGTGAAAATTAGGATTCACTGCTATATATATATCAAGTGTTATCATGGCAATTTGGCAAGACTACGTGAAATGGTACCATTTCGACTTGGTTGAATTTCCATAACATTTGGGCGTAGTATGAGTATTATTATACTTCCAACACTTTCAAATTTTAATTTATGGCATAATTTTGTTAACCGATATGATAATATTTTGTGAAATATCCGAAACGATTAGTTTTCCTGAAGGAGAAAGGTTCAGTTTGTGTATTCTTATTGGTATTCTTGTTTAGAAAAAATTCGATGGTTATTTAGGTGAAGTTGCATAATATCAGTTTTTTTGTGCTGGATGAAGCCGATCGCATGCTTGGTCAAGATGCCTTTCAAACAGATATCATGTGTCTCATTCAAAGGCCTGATTTTCCTTCGGTAAGTTTAAGCGAACAAAACTTTGTTGTACTGTTTTCCAAAAAATGAAAACATACACTGAAAGTCATTGAAATTTAGAAAAAATATGATTCATAAATTATCATTGCTTTGGAGTAAGTTATTCGACTTAATCGAACATTTCCCGGCTTACTGAGTTTCCTGGACATTTCTGGAGTAGATCCTGCCTGTTTCGAAATTTAAACATGTTTTATAGATAAACAGCCGGCAAACATTACTATTCAGTGCCACGTTCACACCAGAAGTACAAGAGTTAGCAGCAAAACTTCTGAAAAAAGACCATGCGTTTATATCAAATGGTAAAATCACTGCGGCTAATCCTCTCGTTGAACAGAATTTTATTGAGGTTAGTTAAATGTCATTTTCATGGATATTTAACTGTCTAGGTTAGCCCACTTAGGTAAGATCGATCAGGTTGGAAAGTTTCACTATGTCGATTTGTCGTCTTGGTTTGTTTGAAACAAAACATCTTAAGGACATTTTGCTCTCTGAGTTTCACCTGTTTGTCTACCTAGGAACGCAATCTCTATCTTTTATTAGAATTACTTTTTCTATTGCAGGTTACATCCGAAAATAAATTTGACAAACTGATACAATTATTGGAAGAAGATAGAGAAAATAACGGTGATGTAGCACGTACTCTGGTTTTTGTTCAGCGGAAACAAATGGCCGATGTTATAGCTTTAAATCTCATTCAAAAAAACATACGATCAAGCAGTGTCAGCGGGTAATGCTTCAAATTAGTGATCAAAATTTATTTAATATGAAAATTCAGACTTGTCAAAGTCAAAAAATCTATCTGTAGTCCTCTTCGTATCTTCATTTTCACTAACTTGTATTTATAATAGCTTATAATAAATAGTTCACTTGTAATGAATTTAAGGAAACCTAAACAACTATTTTATACAGAAATACTTAAATGCTATATTGCCTGAAGAAATATTGAATGCCTGCATTACAGAGATCGTGTGCAGAAACAGCGGGAAGAGGCATTAGCAGATTTTCGAAAAGGTAATATTAAAGTCTTGGTTGCTACTGATGTTTGTGCGCGTGGTATTGATGTCAAAGATCTCCAGCATGTTAGTTTATGTACTTTGTTTGATATTACATTTCTTGCTATGCTTACTATTTCTTAATTGCGTACTAGATGTTGTTTCCACTGATTATGTAGATTGGTTCATTTCACTTCATTCCACACTAATTGCATAAAAAAAATGTCTATAACACTTCAATTTTATATACATATATATATATATATATATATATACATATATATATGTATATATATATATATATATATATATATAT